ACAATGATATCCTTTGTGTTAAAGCTGCTTCCCCCTAGAAGGAAATAACTCCTAGATGTGTCATGACTTGCGTTTTGCAACATGTTCCTAATTCACGAGTTCCGTACCCCTCCTTTATTAAACGTTGATGCAGTGTTTTTGCACGGCACAGCGGTGTTGTTCTGTGGTGAATTCGCGCAGCGCGCGGCCCTTCATTGTCGGAATTCAATGGTTGTGCGGTTGGTCATGCACCTCCTATGTTTGTTAATTCCAACTAGGCATTTGGTACCAACAGTTGTAGACATTTCGGTATCTGACATGAAGAAGGTGGCCCGTTCCCAGAAGCTTCATGCTCGTGAGCCTGTGAGCTTGTAACCTCAAACCAAGGCCACGTAATGATGTGCAATGATGGCCCCAAGGCAGATAGCGTGTCGGGTGCGTCATTGAAACTGACCCGGCCACCCGGTCCTTGTCACTGCCCGAACTTGACTCGTTTTGTGTGGGAACTAAGCTTACCTCGATGTCGGTCTGTGCTTAATCGTCCTAGAGGAATCGACAGCTCTTATGTATCATTTGAAGTGGCTGTTTAAGGCCGCTTTTAGGCTTTGAAAACGTGTGTTGGTCCTGCAACGCCATGCACTTATTAACATATAGCAATATCAAAGAAGTGCAATGGTTTAGGGTGCACGGTTGCGCCGACGGGCGGCTTTGGGACGTAGCTGACGCGTCTCACACGATATCGTAGCCTGCGCCCTCGCCCCACTGGTCGGCCCGCCGTCCGCGCGGCTTCTCACGCTGCAGTGCCTGCGGCCCCGCCCCACTGTCGGCCCGCCGTCCCGCGGCGGCTTCATGCTTCAGTGCACTGCGCCCGCCCCACTGTCGGCCTCGCCGTCCCGCCGGCGGCTTCAACACAACTGCAGTGGCGCTGTACCCGCCCACTGTCGGCCCGCCGTCCCGCCGGCAGCTTCACACTGCAGTGCGCTGTACCCGCCCACTGTCGGCCCGCCCTCCCGCCGGCAGCTTCACTCTGCAGTGCGCTGTACCCGCCTCACTGTCGGCCCGCCGTCCCGCCGGCAGCTTCACACTGCAGTGCGCTGTACCCGCCCACTGTCGGCCCGCCGTCCCGCCGGCGGCTTCACGCTGCAGTGCGTTGCGCCCGCCCACTGTCGGCCCGCCGTCCCGCCGGCGGCTTCACGCTGCAGTGCGCTGCGCCCGCCCACTGTCGGCCCGCCCTCCCGCCGGCAGCTTCACTCTGCAGTGCGCTGCGCTCGGCGCGCCGCCGCCGCTGCTCAGCTGGCTGCACGACGGTCGACCCGTGGGCACGCCGAGGCCGGAGCTGAACCCGCTGAGCGTACACCTGGCCAGCCAGGAGGACGGTGGCACCTACACCTGCCGGGCGGCCAGCACCGCCGGCGAACGACGCGCCTCCGCCGCCGTCACCGTCTTCCAGCGGCTCGGTCAGCGTCGCCGGCACCGAGCGTGCAGCGCGTGTGGATGCATGGCGGGGTGGCGGGAAGTGGGACAGCGGCGGGGATGGTTAGCTCGGAGTTTTATTAGTAAGGTTTCGAATGTCATGTGTGAGGAGAGCACCGGGGCGCATACTCGGACAGGCTGGCTCTCTTCAGACAAGGTGACGTTGGCTCTACTTGAACCAGACCATCATGGGGACCCCTTCTGCCCTCAAATCATGCCTCGTGGGTAGGTGAACCTTGGTCCGCTAATTTAGCACACGCTGGATGGTGTGCTGCTTGACCCAAAGTTCGCTGTCCGGCCCCTTGTGACTCCAGGTCCGTCGCCTGATACCTGTGTACCCTTAGATCCGTCGTCTGACCCCATAAATCCAAAGTTCGTGTTATGACATTGAGTGAGCGGAGATCCGCTCTTTACCCCGACCGATCCAGGCCCGCCGACTGACCTCGCGTGACCCCATCCCCGTCACACGACTCCACCTGACGCCAGGCTTACCATCTGACCTCGAGCGACCCTAGATTCCGTCTGACCCTGTGGTGATCCCAGGTCCTCCGAAGCTGGAGAAGATGCCGGAAGAGCTGCGTCTGCGGGCCGGCACCCGTGGCGAGCTGAGCTGTCGCACAACCACCACCGACTCCACCGCCGTAATCCGGTGGCAGAAGAACAGCCAGGATTTCAGCGGGGACAGCAACACCTCTGTGGAGGATGACGGACAGCTGCTGGTCAGTTCATCGGTCGCTGGTTGCATCTGACCCGCAGCGATAGAGACATGTAGTTGCTTCATACGCGCTCGAGTGGGGGGCAATTTGACCTCCTCCTCGAAGGCTTTTCAAGACTGATATCAGAACGGCGTGGCGTATCCGCGCCAGATGTTGGAAAGCTTAAGATAATTTAACGGCGGACCTTATAATGACAAAAAATCCGATGTAACTTGTAATGTCACTGACCTATGACGGATGACGGGTCAAAGTCGGGTCATAATTGTCAGTGAAGGCATTTCTATGGAGTCGTTCAATGTAATGCAATAACGGAGTGTAGAAAAGGCCATACCTTTCTGACATCGTTTCTTATTAAATCAACCGGTTGAATTTAGAAATACAACGAATTCCATTAACCTAGGGTCGGATATGACAGCTAGGCCGCGGTCAAAACTAACATGCTTTTTCTCGGGAGTTTGGTTTAAGGGATAGTTTCAGACGCTTACTTCGAATTTATTAATGACAGGGACCCGAAGACATGTTCCATGAACTTCTTTAGGTTAGAGTAGGTCACTGACCTGAATTAATCCAGGCTAACGGCTTTTTAGAAACGTACTGCTTAGCGCAATCCCTGACGCCTATTTGAAGAACAAAATCCGGACAATCTCGTATACATTTGGTCACCTTGACCTTTTAAAGGTCAGATAAGGTCAAAGAAGTGACTACAAAGGGAGTGTTTCACATTTATGTGGGGTTTTGAACTGAAATGGATATCCTGAAGACCTTTCGGTGCTGTTCACAATCATGCCCATGTTGATGCGTAGGCTCATCTTGTTTCTGGGCTACACCCCCACGAAATTGGGGAAAGGTATATCAGGGGGAGCATTTCAAAGTCACCTTGACATCCATGACGTCATGATAATGTTATTCAAATCCTGCCATTCCATCCGCCATGCGGTGATCAAGACCAAGAAAAACAATTGTTGTGGCGCTCATGTCTGGCGTGAGCGCCCTTTCCAGATATAATGGCCGTCAATTGACTTTCAATCAATTTTGTGCGAGGTACGATGACGTAGTCAAACCATGACGCATCAGTAGCAATTTCCGTTTAAAATGTATACGAATTTTGATAAGTGAACTTGTTTCGTCATATTTGATGCTTGTGTCAATATCTTCAAAGGTAAAACACTCCCTTTGAGTGATCACCATTGACCTTTTACTTAAAAGATCTATCTAGCTTCACGGCGGTTGCATAAAGAGGTCTGGGGTGCACTTGAGACATCAATCTGTAGTTTGACCTTGTTTGACCTTATTTGACCACAAGGGCATGACCTAGTAACCTACCATTCGACGCAAGTGAGTTTACATGCAGGCCATCCAACCCTGTGAATTTGATAGCTCTAGCTGCCAGCTTTTGAGATCTCCGTGAAGTCAAATTGAACCCCCACTCGAGTAAAGGGTATGCAGCCGGCCACCCGGGCGCTTGTTAATGTCGATAAATGAATTAACAGAACACCCCTGAATGTATTCTAGGGTGCGAACATTTAGGTAGCCATCAGCCAAGCCTATTGAAGGACTTCCAGTTATTGCTTACGTATTATCATTGATCATATTATCTTTGATCGTTGCGTGTGTTCGCTACCTGGCCTCTGATATTTGTCCGCCTCTTGATGGCAGTGAACTGAACACATCTCAGAAATGTATGAGCGCCCCCGCCGCGGCGTCCTCGCGCCAGCTTCAGCCCGCTCGCTCTCCGGACAGGTGTTCGCGAACCCCGAGGCGTCGGACGCCGGCCGCTACCGTTGTGTGGCCACTAACGCCGTGTCGCACGTGGTCTCCCCCCACGTCAAGGTGGTGGTGGAGCGCGAGCCGCACATCATAGAGCGACCCCAGCCAGAGATTGGTTAGTGCGGGCTCCTGCCGTAGGGTGCAGCTCCCCCTCTAGTTAGCCTCATCTGCGGTAGGAGAAAGATTCGCCACATGCAGCTTCTAACTGTGCTGGCTCTGTTCCTGGTCAGCATGCAGCTTTCATAAGGCACGGCCACTGGGAGGGTTTATCAGTGTTGTACACCGCAGAGTGCAGCGAAAGTTGTCCATCTCCAAAGCATGGCGAGATCGACCCCTGTGCGTACACGATTCAATGAGACGCCACTATCGTCATCTTTTGCACCTACACCAGCCCGCGCGTCGCCACTTCCGCCAGCGTGGTGGCATCTCCGCGTGTGTACAGTGTGTTCTGACTGCCGCCTGTGCCCGGCGTCGTAGCCGTGCCGTCCGGCTCGCCGCTGACGCTGCCGTGCGTGGCCACCGGCTGGCCGCGGCCCGACGTGCTGTGGGAGCGCGAGGGCCGGCCTCTCTCGCGCTCCGAGAGGCGCCTGCAGCTGGCCGACGGCAGTCTGATGCTGGCCGCCTGTGGACGCCAGTCTGGCCGGCACCTACACCTGCATCGCCAAGAGTGTGCTCGGCACCGACATCGCCCATGTCCGGCTCAGCGTCGAAGGTAGCCGCCGCGGCGCCGGCCACCTCATCGGCCGTCTCTAGGAGCAGACAAACGGTTCGCGAGATCAGACCGACTCTGTTGGCTGCTGGTTATTCGTACGCTGCTCGTGATTCGTTACGTTTCCCTCCGTCAGCTGGACAGCTGTGTTTTGGATACGTTTTATTGTTGCTATTCCTTGTAAGACCAGCTCAAGCGGTGCCCGTTGTCTTCGTGCGTGCCGCACGCCGTGACGTGCCCGTGCTTCGCAGAGCCGGCGCCGCCGACGTCACCCGCCTTCGTGCCGGGCCCACCTCGGCTGCGGGAGGAGGCCGGCCGGCCGGTCACGCTCTGCCGGCTGACCGGTCACCAGCCGGCGCACCACCTGCTCCGGCTGACCCGGGACGGCGTCTCGATGCCGGTGGCCGACCTTCTGACGACCGGGCCGGACGGCGAGATGGCCGTCACGCTGCCAGCGGTGGCCGAGCGACACGCGGGGCGCTACATCTGCTCCCTCATCGACCACCGCAACGGGGATATGTGGAAGCATCAGGTGGAGCTGGAGGTGGACAGTGGTAAGTCACCGGTCATGTGGTCTGGATCTGATTTCGGTACGCTTGTGTGCACTTGCGTCATTGCTACAATTTGCCAGGACTACATAGCACAAAATGTCAGGGCTGGGTTCTTTACTTGCCACGCCGTCATCTTTTTGTCTGATTGATTTTCCCCATGCTCAGCCCAGCCACACATTATAGTTACTGTTGACGTGCTCCTTCGCTGTGCCCTTCGAATCTTCAGTATGTAGCTAGCTCTGATCGAGCCGTTCTCGTGGCCGTCGTTGCGTGATCTCTCGGGTGTGATCGCCGACCCGTGTGCGTTCTCCAGGCTGGGGACGCTGGAGCGAGTGTTCGGTCACTTGCGGCGCGGGCGTTCGCGTTCGCAACAGGGACTGCGACCGCTTCACACCATGCCAGCAGGTAAATGCACTGAACGTCCGATACGCTACAGCAGTGATCTGAAAAGGCGGCTTGACGAGCATGCTGCACAAACAACAGTCTCAGTGGCTGTCGCTGTAAATGCCACGGTAACGACGTTTAACACGCGCTGGGGGGACGGGGGGTCAAATCGACCCCACCCAACCGCACAGGTTTTTCCAGAATGATATTCCAATGGTGCGGCTATGCCAAGCCAGGTATAGTTGTACAAAACTGAAGAGCGGATCTTTTGATATGAAAATTAGACGTACCTTGTCAGGTTCATAATGTATGGCATATCAAAGTCAGGCTACAGCTGTCAGAGAAGGGCATTCCTAAGGAATTGTTCAATGACATGCAATAACTGAGTGTTAGACGAATCCATACATAAATGGGATAGTTCCTTAGACAATAAGCCAGTAGAATTTAGAATTGCAATCCATTCCATTGAACTGGGGTCTGGTACGAAGGTCAGAACGAAGTAAAAACTAATATGCTTTTTTACTCGATGGCTTGGTCTCATGAGGTTTGGTGTTATGGGGTTTCTGGTGCTCATTTCGAATTTGTTAATGACAGGGACCGCAAGAGACATGTTCCATGGACTTTTTGAAGGTCCGAGTAGGTCCCTGACCTAAAATGGCCCGGTCGGCACTTTGTTTTTAGGAACATACTGCCTAGCGTAATACCAGACGATTATTCGAATGGCAAAATGAGAGTGATCTGATAGGGATTTGGTCACCTTGACCTTATAAAGGTCTAGCAAGGTCACTGATCTCATGGACATTTTGCTCAGGACAGGTGTCTACCTTCACGGCGGTTGCTTGAGAGAGTCTGAGGACACCTGAGACATCAGTCTGGAGCTTGACGTCGTTTGACCTTATTTGAGCCCATGTTAATAGCCAAGGAACCTCAAATTTTGACACAAGTGAATTTACGTACAGATCAGTCTATTCTGTGAATTTTGTACCTCTAGCTATCTTTGTCTTTTATATTTCAGCGGGTCAAATTGCCCCCACCCATCCGAGCGAAGAATATTCAACCGGCCACCAGTTTTTCATAGTGACAACATTCGCAGCTACCATATTGACATTGCACAATATGCAACATTGCAAATCAGATTCACTAAGTACCGACATGGTTCCGCGATGCTGGCTAGGTACCGCGGAACGGTACGTTCACTAGGTACTGACATGGTTGGATGCTGTAACCTGAATTTGGGTAACACTCGGGTTCCCTGTGCATGGCGTGTGTTTGTGACGTCATGGCCGCGCCTCTGCCGTCAGCCGACGCCGTGTGTGCTGCCGGCCTGCACCACCGGCCTCCGCGCGGCCGTGGGCTCCGTCCAGGGTGAAGTCAACTCGGTGCCCGTCACCTCCGGTCTGGTCACGACCAAGGTCACCGGGGACCCGGACCTGGGACGGCTCGAGAGTCTCATCACCGGCATCCAGGAGGAAGTGGTGAGAGCTGCTTCGCGATCGGGTCGGTTGAAATGCCTTTATGGAGAAAATCACACTTTGTTAGTATACCGTCATGCATATTAATGGTCATTGTCCTCCGGTATTTCGCTCAGCTGAACAGACTGCGGAAGTCACGTGACATTTCTGTAGCTCCGTCGCGTGGCAGGTGATTTCTATTCATTTTTCTTAATACTCCTGGTGTGGGAACGCCGTGTCCCGGTACAGACCTCGGGCCTGGTATCGCTGCTGCCCCTGCTCTCGCCTGTGCCCTGGCTGTTTATCTGTCTGACGACGTGTCCCGGTACAGACCCCGGGCCTAGGTACCGCTGCTGCCCCTGCTCACGCCGGTGCCCTGGCTGACGGCACGTGAGACGGACGACGCCCAGAACGGTCTGGAGCTGACCGGCGGCTTCTTCCGCAAGCAGAGCGATATCATGTTCCCCACCGGTGAGTGGTGATGGCGGGATGCTGAACGGTGGCCCGCGTCTAAACGGACAGCATCTCCGAACGATCTCATAAGACTCCAGTCGTGCACGGCTGGCTTGGAGCGATTCATCTTCTCCCGACAGAATAGGTTATGGGGTACGGATGGAGAGAACTGTGTGATGGAAGTGGTGTTTGACGGAGTGTGGTTCGATGGAAGCCGGCTATTTTAATAGGCTTTGTGGATTTGTGCCGCTTCAACAGCGGCGTACCGCGGCAGAGGACGGTCGGTGTTTGCACGTTTGTGTATTTGTGTGCAGGTGAGAAGCTGCAGATCACGCACATCGGCCTGGGCGTGGACGCTGAGGGCACGCTGTCCTACGACACTGAGGTCAAGGGTCAGCTGCCGCCGCTGCCCGGCGGCGGCTCCGTCGACCCGGCCCAGTTCAAAGGTCAGTTCTTCAGGGATAAGACTGGTGTGTCATCTGCGGGGCTGGTTCAGTTCAGACGCCAGTCCGGATCTGTCAGTGTTAGCAAGCTCTCTGTGAACTCAGCTCATTTTAAGTGCTAGGTCCATTGTAAATGTGGACCAGAACACGCGGAATATTGTTGAATGATTGCTTCTGCAGGATAGCGGACGTTTGGCAAGTTAGTGCCGGCACGCATTGGCGCGCATCAGTGGCTAATGACGTATGATCAGCGGGGTGGCGGCCACGGCAGCTGTTTTAAGTTACCGCAATTTGCATATGTTACCATTGGGTGACACTTGTTCAGGCAGCTTGGCGAAATCAACATCTCTCAGCATGTGTTACCCGTGTCTGCGCGGCGCAATGATTGCTCCGTTTTAAGAGCCTTGGCCTCCTTGTGTTATCATAGACGCGTGCCTTCCCGGAATCATCGCGTTCGGCGTGGGGTGCAATATGTCAACTTAAATTTCCTACGACAGTGGTGAATGCAGCATAACAGCACATCCACAATACAACCATACGTGACGTCACTTTGACGTCATGTCTTGCTGACTTGAGGTCGCCGCCCCGCCCCGTAGGTGACCTGGTGCAGACAGGCGCTGGCGATCTGCACTCGCACTCAACACAGTACTACCAGGCGGGCGGCACGCTGGTGCCGTTCGTCGTCAACGAGACGGTCACGTACGACGGCGCTCGTGGCCAAATGACGTGAGTGGCGGACGCCAGGAAAACCCGGCTCCGAATCTCCTGCGGTGCGAAAATATTTCCCTTTCCTCTTCTGAACAGCTCGAGCGCTGCAGGGTTGCACAAAAATGGCGGTGGTAGACGTCGATAAATCCCCGGCTTGTGGTACAATAACCAGCCAGTGACCTTGTGTGAGTGCACATGACACCGGCTTCCAACAGCGCTTCTCCTATTGAGCGCGGTGATGTTACGTACGCGAGTCGGCCCGTATGGTCGCGGTCCGTCATGCCGAGACCGCAGCGTCCGCCGCCTGTCAGTGTTGCTGTGATTGACGGTCAGAGCCCGCACGGCGGCCAGCCCGGGTCAGGTGCAGTGGGAGCTTTTCACTTACGAGGCTGATCCCACAACTGTACGCGTTCAGCCACGGCGTCGGCTGCTTGAAATACTGTGCTTGGCGACATGGGTGCGCGACTCACACCTAAGCCGCCGGTGTTGACAGGGATCTTGCCCGGAAGATGAAAGTGCTGACGCGGAGCATGATGTCACTGGTTCACACCCGAGCCGCCGGTGCCGACAGGGATCTGGTGCAAAGCCTGGAAGTTGAGAGCGCTGACTTGGAGTATGACGTCACTGAAAACAGAGTGCTCTTCCGGATGACGTCACTGACGGCCAGCCAGGGTGACACGTGTCCTGACGGCTACAGCCAGGCTCGGGACGGCCAGGTGTCCTTCTGTCAAGGTCCGGTGCTCGTTGCAGCTGATGAACGCCTGTGGTCACACAACACAGCATGGCGTATGATAGTGAAACAATGCGGTAGTTCGGTACCTGGACGATGAAGGTTCTTTCTGGTAGATATGCGCATGGACCCCAGGGGTGGCATGAACCAACCCTGGGATTCATGAAGAGGATCCCAGTATCCTGTATCCATCCTATGGGTGGATCCAGAATCTCGTAGCTTTCGATGTAAAGGGGATCCTGGTTTTTTCGGCTCCAGGCACATGTCTGCTTACTTGAATGATAAATTAGCAGACATTCTTCAAACGAATTTAATAAAAACAAATTTCATAGGCGCGGAAACTATCGTGTCATGTGGGGCGTGAACTCCCCCAACATTGATGACAATTTAGCACTAAGCTTGTGGCGATTCAAGGAAAGATGCAACCCAAAGTAACTCTCAGCCCAAAGTAACCTTCCCCCAATCTTGGACAGCTTCCCTCACTTCTGGATATGTTTCAGGGTCATTTGGGTGATTTGTGATCCATGTTTGACATTTGTACGAAAGAAGACATGACTTTGCGGGGTGAATGATGCCTTCTATTAAACTTTGAGGCTTGCATCCTTCATCCCAGTGCACAGCCGTAAGTCTGCCGAAAATTGGGGATAAAAGATGATAGCGTTGTGCAGATTCTTGCTGCTTCCACTCTTACACATTGGTTGGCTGTCATTCTGGAAAACATTTGTGATAGTGCCCGCATGTGTGGGCTAGGATTTCCGTTAAGTTAGCGATTTATTCAGCGATATATCCAGTGACGAGTCCCGGTTTCCTTGAAAACATGTCGTTGACCAATTGTGGCACGAGCACATTGAAAATGATGTTTATTCTGCAAGGTTAAAAGACGTGGACATTCATATGACCAAAAAATTACCGGCTGATTCAATTTTGACACCATCAGAGAACTTGCAAGCGCAAGACATATTGTCCGTTGAAAAGCCCTGACCTCTCAAGTAAAGTCCTGGCATCTCACGGTCACCCTTCAAGGTCAAACTCAGCTTCAAAGGCCCCGGGGCTCCATATCACTAAAAACTTACCAGCCGATTTCAACTTTTCAATTATCAGAATATTCACAAGTGCAAGAACTAGCGTCCGTCAAAAAGTTTTGACATCTCTAGGTCACCTTCCAGTGTAAAATTCAGGCTTAAAGAATAAGGACAGGGAACTCCATATCACCAAAAATGATCGCCCCCTCATCCTCTGAGCCTTAGTTTGATCGTCAAGAGTAATCTCGAGAAGTCAGGACTCTTTGACGGACGGTCATTCCTTCTGTGGTAAATATTCTGGTGCTTGCAAGTTTAAAATCGGCCGATGATTTGTTAGAGATAGGCGGCTCCCCGTCCTTTGAGCATAAATTTGACGTTGACAGGTGACTTTGAGAGGTCAGAACTTTTTGACAAGCGATTTAGCGATTTATTCAGCGATATATATCATGTCATGTGGTTGTGAATATTTTGATCGTTGAAAGGTTAAAATTGGTGGTATTTTTGGCGACATGGAGTACCTGTCCTTTAAGCCTAAGTTTGGCTTTGAAGGCTGGCCTTGAGAGGTCAGGACTTTTTGACCGGCACTATTTCCTGCGCCTGTGAATATTTTGACGCTTGCAAGTGTTGATCCCGGCAATATTTATTTCGTGATATGGAGTTTCCCTTCCTTTGACCTTGCTTTTAGCCTTGAAGGTCACATGATATTGCGAAGTAAACATACTTTTTGATGTTTTCGTGCCATAACTGGTCATGTGATCTGTTTTCAGAGAACTGAGAGCTCGTCGCTGAAAAAAATCGCGAGAGTAACCGGCGTTTGAGCCTCAGTTTGACCTTGACGGATGATCTTGAGGGGTCGGGGCCTTAAGACGGACGCTCCTTCTAGCTCTCGTGAATATTCTGTTTGATGAACATTTTAAATTGACCGCCCTTTTTGTAATTTAGAGCTCCCCGTCCTTTCAGCATAGATTTGACCTTTAAGGGCGCCCTGAGAGGTCATTACTTGCTGGCGGACGCTAGTTTTTGCGCTTGTGAATATTTTAATGCTTACATATTTGAAATCGGCCTGTATTTTTGGAAGATATGGAGTTCCCATTGCCCATGACAAGCCCACGTGAGACCAAAGTGGGCGGGCCATCCATATGACTGCCCATCTCGGACCCTTATAGGTCACAGTTGGACATGCTGGCTGGGATATGGAGTTCCCGTTCTTTGATCTTACGTTTTACCTTGAAGGCCATAGGACATGGCAAAAAATGACATTTTTATGTTCTCGTGTCTTAACTGATCAAATAGCGTGTTTTCGGATAACTCCGATTTCGTCGCCGAATAATAAATCACTGAATAAAACGCCAACTTTACGGACATTAGGCTAGTGGGCCGGGCTGTCGGTAATGTTGACAGACAAGCACACGCCATCTGGCACAACGTACGTTTTACTGATGTTTGCATGCCCGCAGATGTGGACGAGTGTCAGGACTCCCCCTGCTCCCACATCTGCGTCAACTTCGTATCCAGCTTTCGATGCGAGTGTCCTGATGGTTTTACAGTCCAGAACGACCGGGTCACCTGTGTAGGTCAGTACCCCCAGCTGGTGGTGATGTGGTTGACGCATGCTGTGCCTCGAGTCCTGGGACCACAGATCCGTGGTCGCGGGATCCGTGCATGTTCCGCGACCAGTTTTACAAACTTATTCATTATTTCCCCGTGGCGTGCGCCCGCCTCTATAGCTCAGTGGCAGAGCATTGGTCTTGTAAACCAGGGGTCGGGAGTTCAATCCTCTCTGGGGGCACGCTGCGTTTTCAGTCTTACGACATGCTTGTAACGCGTAGTTGACATGACGTGGTCCCAGTTGTGCCCCTATATTTCAGTGTGCTTACTTTGAATGGAAGTGTTTGTAACTGGTAATTAATAAGATGCGTTTGCAATTTGCATGGACATGATGACGCATGATGTTATTGTTGTTATTGAGATGTTATTATATATATTGAGATGTTATTATCATATATATATATATATATATATATATATATATATATATTGAGATGTTATTCAGGCCCGTCGCTGCTTCGGCGCCAGTTGAGATGGTCGGGACGAGTAAGTCCGATCTGCCCTGA